CCTTTGAAAAGTGGAGTTTGAAAATTCCACCCCAAAAGAATCAATTTCACTCTTCAGCCAATGAGGGCAAAATGCATCATTTTTGAAAAAGCACACAGAAATGCAGAGTGTCCCACCAACCGAAAGACACATTTCCCCTGTTGGAACAACCAAACAAAAAGAGGCTGCAAACACAAAGAGGAGTGAACTGAAGCAAGCTTTGATGTGGAGCCTGGAGGATCTGGGAGGGTTCGAGCACACAGGAGTCTACCAACCCCAACCCTTAGCCTCAGTTTCTGAGCACAAGCCAATGGGGATGAAGCGTCTGAACTCGAAGGTGGGCACTCGTCACATGGGAAGTGGGAGGAGACACGGAGGTGACCTTTGCCTGCTGCTCTGCATTTTGATTGGACAACCATGCTTGGGTATCTGACAGAGAAGGGAGTTGGAGCACCAAGTCCCAGCTCTGAGGCCCTAGAGCACTCTTGGCTCTTGGAGCTGGGAATCTGACAAGCCCTCATACAATGCCTAAAGGCCACAGGACCACTTTCCCCAGGACTGTTTGTACCGCAGGGTCAGGCTTCTGGGAAAGACCGTGGCCTTGCCAGACCCCAGCAGGTCCTCAAGTGCTTCAGCAACAAGAGAAAGAGATGAAGAATCCACGAAAGAAACAAATTCCAGCTTTCTGATAAGGAAAACACGCCAGCGTAATGAAATGCAGTGAGTGAGCAGCAGGATGACAAATTCACTGGGACTCTGTTTGTAGGTACGCCGATGCATCTGTGAATTGCTTTTCAGCGTCACTTTGTCATCCGACACATGCTTCGCCTCGCTTGGCTTTGTGCTTTGCAATTCATTATCCAGGCAAATTTTCATCACCGAGGATGTTTGCCTCATGTGTCATTATGCAGGCCTTCGCGTGGCACTCAGAGGCGCGCGATGCTCACTTTGCAGTGGTGGGCAGAGAAGACAGAAGGAGTGTTCAGTTGCCCAGCTCGTCTGGATGCACCTTCGATGCATGGCGGGTGCGTGGCACCACCCAGGCCTTCATCCAGGGCATGGCGCATTGGTGTGGATGCCGCAAGAGGCAGGGATGGATGTTGGCATGGATGGCTTTGCAGTGGATTTAGACGAATTTGGAGAGGAGGGTAATTGAGATCTTCTAGTTCTGATGGCCCTCAGCACCAAGAGCAGTGCAACATTGCACACCTGTTGCCTGGGAGCATTAGTAGGAAGGTCCGGTTTAGGGGTATAAGAGTGTTTTCCTTCTATGGGAAAGCACACAAGTATGCGCCACCGAATGCTTTGACTGTGAGTGAGCCCACTTGCCTCTGGGAAATAGTCACAAGCTGTTGAACAGGTGCCCATGTTCTTCTTGATCCTGGTTCCAAGTTCTCTCCACACAGATGTCCTCAGCAGTGGAACCAGCCCTGTTTTAGTTGGTGGAGATGAGGAAAATTGTGTAAATTTGGGGCAGAGTGGTGCTGAAAATCTCCCACTTGATCCTGTTTTGCTTTCTGGAAGTTTTGAGTTCCTACGGAGTGAGGGACAGTTGCAGAGGCAAATTGGAATTGGGCCTGAGATCACAGCAGGGAAGAAGTTTGGAGTTGGGACGTGTGAGGAGTGGGAATCCATAGGATTCTCTAGGCTTGGCTCCCTGGACCCCTGTCTACTTTGTGGCAGCCCAGAATCTGAGTTCTTCTTGGCTCAGTTTGCATTGGAAGACCAGGTCAGGCACAAGAGGACACCTACAAATGCTTGGAGGGACGGATTCTAAGCTTTCAGCAGCTGAGCAATCCCAGACATCACCCAGCCCTTGGTCTGACCCCGCATGGTTCTTCTTAGGCTCTTCTTCTCCATTCCTATCAAGGTGGACTTTCCCACCATTGACCCTCAAAAAAGGGGATGGAAGGATGCAGAAGCAGAATGAAGGAATGACCCCCTCCCTTCCTGAGATCTCACAGCACTTTAAGGGTGAAAGAAGGAAGAAGCTGCCCCTGAATCAGATGCCTCCTCTTCCTGGCCTGCAGCAGAATCATAGAATGGTAGAGTTGGGAGGGGCCAAGATGGCCACTGGGTCCAGCTTCCTGTATCAATGCATTTGGCTTCTTTTTCCCAGGTGGAGGAATTGGCACTTGTCCCTGTTGAATTTCATTCTTTTGTATACTTGTTTCTTTTCATGTAGCTGCACATTTCCTGAAGGCCTCTGGCAATCCTATTTCCTGGCATCCTTCTAACTGGAAACACCAGAAGATTGACGCTTGGCCCGTCTGAATATATTGATCTGCTCTACCATCAACCCTCCTTCTTTGTCCATTTTTGCATTCCCACAACTGCTCCATCTTCTCTTCCCTTCTCCAGAAGTTGGAATGCTGCTGTATGTTCTGTGACATCACCAAGACCCATCCAAGGGAAGGGACAGAGGTAGGAACTGAAAGTTGCATGAACAATAGCCTGTGTTTAGCTGATGACACACAAGAGGTATGAGGCTTTGTTTTGTCTTCAGGACGGCACACCGAAACTCCACCAGCTGGTCATTAAGTTCTTCCCTGGGACTGCACGCTTGTCTTGATCTTTCTCCAGCAGGACTTTTAAGCAGTGCTTCTTATAAGCGGCAGCTTGACGACCAAGAGGTAAAGTGCTACTTAAGCTGAGTTTGCATCGGAAAAGACAGCGATTCCATAAGCCAGCTCAGCCGACAGCGCTCCCGCGGGCAACCTTACAGCTGCCGCAGCAGCATGAGCAAAAAATGTTGGACAAACTTCAGAACCGGCCGGCCTCAAGCTCCAGCCAGCCAGTTCCAGGCCCAGATGCTGTCGCATGCAAATGACATTACGGAGCGATGCTTTCCGATGTGGCTGCTGCCAAGTACCACAGCCACCATATGGACCCGCAGTTGCTGCCTTCTCCTGCCAGATCAGAGAGCAGAGAAGGCAGCGCAAGGGAGTGTTTCTCACCAGGTCTGAGGGACTGGCTGCAGTGCAAAAAGATTTCTGCACAACTTGTCAACAGAAACGGAACAAAGGCGCTGGAGGAGGTACGTAGAGCTGGGAAATTCTGACGGCTGCCTTTCCTTCTTTCCCGATCAGGGCTGGGCTTGTACCATTGCAAGATGTATTTATTTTATGCAAAGCATTTCTAAAGGCCTGTCCTCCTCGGTTTGAGGAAAGCCTGAGGCATTTTAACAGAAAGCCATAAACACAGTAAAATATCGCCATTCCAAGAAAATGAACAACAAACAAACAAACAACCAATAGCATGTATATCAATAAAATTAGGGGGGAAATCTAAAGTGAAAGAGTAACCTTCATCAGTAAAACTTGCTGGAACAGTACCTTTTACCAGCTGTCCAATGACCAGGATGCAGTGAATCAACCCAATTCCTCTGAAAATGAGATACTACACACAAGGCCCTGTTCAGGCCTCCCATCAACCTGTCCAGAAGCTGGGACATGGCCCAGGGTCTCAGGTGAGGTCTATAAGTTAAAGAAGTGTCAGATGGGAGGAAGTCGGTCCTCCAGTACAGAGGAAGGATGCTGGTACATGGCAGTTGCTGGGGAACATGGCTAGGAGACACCAGGATGATGGAGGACAGAACGTTTGCTGATCCAGCAGGGTGGTTCTGTTGGATGCTGTGCCACCGAGGGGCATTTACGGTGGAAGCCCAGAGCTACCCGGTATCACAGTGAGAGGAGGCTGTCTCCAGCAAAGAATTTCTCCCCCATCCAGGAATGGATGAACTGATGACATCTCATGGGGAACTCACCCTTTGCGGTGCCAGAATAGGCTAAAACATGAATCCCTGATGTACTGGGATGCTCTTTCCTCTTCCTTTCTTTTCCAATTGCAAAAAGGTTGCATCTACCTGCTAGAATTCAACCCCTTATTCCCGCTGCACCCCTCCTCCAGAGCCGCTGCAGTACGCATGACGATTCGAATAGCCCAGTCTGCCTAACAGTGACCTGCTCCCACAGAAACACAGGGGGCTCATTTTTAATACAGAATCGAGGGTATTTTGCTTTGCCGAATGCACAGAGCAGTTCTGAGTGGTTAGCAGATGGCAGCATCAAACTTTTCTTTTGACTCTCTCTCTGCTACTCTGAACAAGGAAATTGCCAGGCAATCAGCTAGGGAGGAGATTAACGTTCAAATGAGGAAGAAATAAAACGGAGGCTCGCTGGAGCTGCAGAGCAAGCGAAGAGAAAGCAGGGAACATCTCTTTATCTAGTCATATCCTGCTAGCAAAGCCTTTTTAAAAAATATAAAAATATAAAGGTTGGCTCGCTATCCACCTGGATTCCATTAGTTGCATGCCAAGCTTTATCACTAGATGCCGAAGAGAAACAGATGCACTCAGCATTCAGAAGGAGTTTCAAAGCCTGTTTTTCAGAATTTTCCCAGTAACTGTCCGAGTTCTCAGGTTTTTCCTCTCATTTTTGATCAAGTACTCAAGTTTCATTCATCAGATGACGGTCCATGGCTTAGGATGAGCATCAAATAATTGCTTATTTTATTTATTTATTTTTTCTAACTAGGGCAAAGCCAAACGGACTGGCAGGCTTACAAAATTGTTGATTTGGTGGTGTCAAAATAATCTTTCCCTTCTTCTCAGCTACCTTTGGCCACTCCCTACCTTCCTGAACAACCCCCTTTTTATTCTCCCAATATTTTAAGATTTGATTGTTTTAATTGGGGTTTTATTGTTGGTTGGAAATTTTATTAGGACACTGTGTTTTATTTTATTTTATATTGTCTTATTGTTAACCATCTGGAGACCATGGGAAGGGACAGTCTAGAAAAGTTTTAAATAAATAAAAAAGAAAGAAAGATCTCTTTCAGGTGGCTGTCCAGTTGCAGATCATGGCTGAGAGGATACTAGAACCTGGACCTCCCATTTCTCAGTCAAATGCTCCAACACAGTGCTCTGCTGAATGTATTTTGCTTCCCACTGGCTCTATAAATAACCCCTTCCAAGCTAAATCATGCAAGAACTAAAAGCCCCATTGAAAAGCCCTAGTTACCATTGCCAGTGGCACGATCCGCACGAGGTCCTTCTGGCAAATGAAGATTTCAGACAGGGTGGTGTCCGTCGTCCTCTTCCGGGGGTACTCCACCTGCCACGTGATCGGCTGTGTGCCCGAAAGGCTGCTGAAGCTGGCGATTTCGAAGTTCAACTGCACAACCTCACTGAATGCGATGCTGGAGCTTCTGGAAGGAAGGCCGGAAGAAGAAGGGTAGAAAAGGGATTATGATGAGCAGGTTACTCAAAAAGAAAGCCATCTTAAACAGGGATGAGCCTCTAATTCAAACACGTGAACTTTCTGCTCAAATTCACCAGGAGGGAACTGGAAATGTGGGGAATATTTTTGGAAGGGGGTTGGGTTTTTCTTTTGGAGAAGGGGCGATGCAGAATTATCTGGCCCATCCTGCAATGATGGTAATATTTTTCTTAAATGATTGCTCTTGTTATCAGCATCTTTCTTTCACCAATGGTTTCATTACAACCATTTCCAGTATCATTTGATGGCATTCTGAATAGGGGATAGCAGATCCCTGGGAGCTGCCTTTTTCCCCAGAATGCCCCAGTGTCATTCCTCATAACAAACCAACATAGCCAAAGTTAGATCAACCAACCCTTTCTGACTTCCTTGTTTTCCTGAACTTTAATGCATTGTGGGCAGAAAGCAGGCATGGATCAACCTTCAGATCTCAGGGAGCTTTGCAGTAGATAACCAGGTATTTCTAACTTCCAGATGTTTAACCACAACAACACCAACATGGCCGCCTAGCCCCAATGATACAGGTACTGCTTGGTTCTCTCCCCCCACCTCTCTCTCTCTCAGTTAATTTGTTTGCACTCTGTTTCCTTTAAATTCTTAGAACATTGGCCAAAAACATTTTAGCACATTTTTCAGGAAAGAACCCTCTTCTCTCTGCTACCCCAGCCTTTATTCTTTTTCCCTGTGCAAAGTTGGTCCGCTGCTTAGTATTCATTCAGTGTGGAATTCTCTTTCTGCAGACACTGAAGGCAAAACGGTATTGCTTCCACCAGTGATAGCAACAGTTTAAGGGCTTTAAAGCTTCTGAGAGAGGCTACAGTTAAGGGAAAAACAAAGAATAAAAACAAGACCATGGCTCTTCAGGAACTCTCAGGGAAGGCGTCTGGTTGTTGATTTTTTTTTAAAGTTTCCATTTCTGTAAGGTCGCTGGCATTATCAAAACAGGCCCTGAATTCACTCGGGATCATCGAGTGCTGTTGCAAACAGCAACAGATAAATCGGCCTGTTTGTGTTCCGCATCGCATTGTTGTCTCACATCTCTGTTCCAGATCTGTTCCTTCCACATTTCCACGTTATCTACTGTCTATTACTTTCAACAAAATCTGCATGAAAACTTGCCTTTAAATACTGCTAAAGTATACTTCTTCCAAAATCCAAAGGTTTAAATGCATTCTGAGATGCATCTTGAGTGAAAGGCTGAAGCCTTTGAAGGATTGTGGTCACCAGCTGATGCATTGATTAATTGCTGTGTGCTTTCCTACCAGCCAAAAATGTGCAGAAAATAATAACACTCCATCTGTTGATGAATGGCATTTGGTAGCCCGGGGAATTTTCTGCATGGTGAAATTTGCTAATTGGAGTGGGTGGGCAACAAATGGACTGGGAGGCCTAGATCTGGTTCAGAAAGGTCAAATTCCTGAAACCGCTTGACTTGGAAGACAATCTGTACAGCACTGGTCCAGCCACTGCTGGATCTTCTCCAACTAGTCCAACCTAAACTGCCACACAGCAAAACTGTTTCTGTTTTTTTTTTTTTCCTTGTCTTCTTATTGTTTGCACTGAAAGAAGAGACACTACCAAGAAAAACCCCGATAAAAACTGAGGAGGGAGGGAATAAGAGAGACCAAACAAGGGAAGGATGAGGATGAAAAGTCTGTTTCCCATTCAGCCTGTCTGGGCCTGCCCACCCACCCAGAACAGCAGCCTGGAATTAGCTCCCAGCTCAGACTAAGAGTCCTTCTGTCCTTATCTGCACCACCAAAGCTCAGGACTCCAGCCCAGATGCCAGGATTCTGACCACACCAAAGCCAGAGCTAGTTGGATTGAAGGCTCTCCAACCAGGAACCTGGAGGGTGACTGCAGGAGCCTGGCCTGCCTTCAGAGGCACGGACCCTGCCCACATCCCTGGTCCAGCAACAGTTCAGGAGAGGATCCATGGGGAGGAGGAAGGGTATATGAGGCCCCATGCTAGTGAGGTTCTTTCCAGATGGCTGGGAGGAAGTAGGTGGGAGCTCGGAGGTGGAATCCTGGAAAACCTGCAACCCCCCAGCTGATTTCAGGAGGCAATAAGACTCTGCCCTTAGTCATGGGAAGAGGATTAGGATATCATCCCTGACTCCCATTTTGAATGGTCATTATGCTTCTTTTGATTACATGTAAGTTTAAGTGGATTTCATGGGCTTAGGACAGATTTGCATCTCATTGCAATTTAACCGTACCTTTTCACATCCTCCCACCCCATCAGCCAACCTCTGCACTCCTGGGCATATTGATAGAGGCCTGCCAATGGAAGAGAAAACTTCAAGTATTTGCAAAGCGGGATTCCATCCATGAAAGCATGTGCCCAGTAAACGTGGGAGCCTTTAAAGGGCTACAGCTGTCTTTGTTGGACTCTCTGCAACAGGCTAAGCTCTTCAAGTGCTTTGATTTCAAGGGCTCCGTGGAATAACTGAAAATGGTCCTGTAGGGGTTTTTCATAAGTTGCATTTGTGAGTGCAAGTTTTTGAAATAAGATTTCTTGGTCTTTTGGAGACAATTCATAAACACTTATAGACATCTCCCTCTTTCTCTCTTATTCTGGCAGTGCCCTGGATGCTGCAAGTTATAATCTCACTGTAATTGCCTCTCTCTCAGTTTGTAATTGCCTGCTTATAGAGAAGTGATTTTTTTAAAAAAAATGAAATTAAACAAAGCCATTGCAGTCTGGCTGTGCATATTCAGTGGATTATATTTTATTTATGGCATAGCTGGGTAGAGCTGGGACCCAGCAGGTTCCAGAAACTGATACCCAACGGGCAACGGCACAAGGCGATAGAATGCTGGTCTACAGGGGTTTGCTCAGCCTGGAACTTCAGGACCCCGGAGAGCTCCTAAGGAGGGCTGAAGTTGCTCTGCCCAAGCCCAAAGCTCTTTCTCTTCCCAAACTGGCGGGAAGGCAGCCAGATCTCCCAGCTCCAACTCCAGCATTCTGTCCATCGCAACACACTGGCTCTCGGCAGTTCCACAGGAGCAGTATCAGGCAGCGACATAAGTTTCCAGAATGAAGTGACATAAGATCCCAGATGAACCCTGCCCTTGGAGAAATTGGCTGAAGTACCGCAGTTTCAGCTCAGCCAGAATTTGGCTTGGGCAGGCTGGCAGCTGTGGAGAGATGTGCACTAGCAGGCATGAACTGACTTTCAGGGTGGACAACTGTGTCGTATTTCAGCAATGGCTGCGTTCGCTGTGAGGAAGCTGGGCTTTGCTTTCCCGCAGCTTCAGATGCTGCCCATGATGGTTGCTTTCTCGTCTGTAAGATGCACCCTTACTGGGCACTGCTGGACTGCTTTTTAGAGGGCAAAGCTGTCGATTTTGCGTCCTCATTTTCCTGACTGCAGCTTTAGTTTTGTTTAATTCTGCATCCACAAGTAACTTTTGTTTTTTTAAAAATGTCATTTTTTAATGTGTGTGTTGTTGGACACTCTTTCTTGCATTTCCGCCCCTTTAGCTATGCACGCATCTTTTGTAATCCATTTTCCCCAATAATAATGCTTTTTTTGTGCATGATTATCATGGTAGTATTTGGTTTGAAGAGCATTTTTCACTTGAAGGAGCCATTTTGCCTCATCCAAAGTGGGACAGATAAAAAAGACAGGTGGGGAGGGAAAGAGAGAGAGAAATCTGTGAATCTATGGGAACGATCCTCATTGCTCATCATTTCAACAGAGTCTGAAGTGAGTGACAGAAAGAGTTAAACACTAGACGGGGGCCAATATTTCTCCCTCCACCTCCCCAATCTGCATAACATTGTAAGAACGCAAGAGACTGGGGCAGATGGAAATTCAGCAGTCAGTATCTGAACTAAGAGCCTGAATGTTTTTTTATACTGTGGTGCAGGGTGTGTGTTGGGGGGTGGGTGAGCAGCTACACTCCCCCCCCCCCAAATCCTGTAATTATTGATGCATTTTACTGGGAAGTGCAAAGATATTTGTGAGAAGCCAAAGAACTGAGAACATTGGAGGTGTAAATGGAGTGGACTCTTTTTAGATACATGACTGGAAATGGGGATCAGAAGAGACACAGAGAATGTGCTCCAAGTTGGGGGCTGTGAAATCAAAGCACCCCCCCCCCCCCGCAGTCTTCACACCATCCTTTGCAGGGACTCAGGCAGAGGTGGGTCACTAAGCCCTGCAACCTGATCTTCTGAGCTGGAGTTTGATTTCAATAACTCAGAACCTGGATATGCCATTCCGCCTGATGAAAAATAATTTGAAAAACAAGAGCAGATCAAAGGGTTCAAAACAGATTCAACAAATCCACCACTGCTTGGTTCAGGAAGGCGTCTTGAAATAACAGTGTTCTCAGGGGGGGCTCCAGGGAAAGTTGTCCCCAACCCCAAAGGGTCTTCTCCAGGTGGACTCCAGACAGGTCCCAGGCCTAGGAGACCTCACCAGGAGAGTATCCCCTGAAAACATCAGTGTCTGAGCAGATAAGTAGAGAAAGCCACTCTCTCAAATTTAGATTTATAGGGTGGTCGCGAAATTTCACTATGCATGTGGCAATGGCAAGCATGAATTGAGTGTGGAAACACAAGAACATCAGCTTGGCAACCAAGTGCAGATTTGTCCGTGTGACCAATTTTTCCTATTGCAACCTACGGTTGTGAAAGTTGGACAGTGAAGAGGTTAGGCCAGAGGAAGATGGACCCGTTTGAGCCGTGGTGTTGGCGGAGGCTCCTGGGCATTCCATGGACAGCAGGAGTCACAAACAAGCAGGTGCTGGAGCTTGTTCGATATTAAATGAGATGTGCCCCTGGACCACAAGATAACAAAGCTGAGACTCGTGTATTTTGGCCACGTCAGGCGATCAAGCTCATTAGGAAAAGAGATAATGTTTTGACTGCTCAGAGGCAAGAGAAAACCTGGTCTCCAAAGAGCAAGGTGGTGAGAC